AGACTGAATACGTAGGGAGAGAATACAACCCTAGCACACTCCCTTCCAAATTCCAAACCATGCAGTGCTCTCCTGCTCTGTTCGCACAATAACCTCCTGGTCTAGATACAGGTTCAGCATGAGCACAGTTAAGGGCTCTGGGATTCCCATTCTTTTCAATGTGAGCCACAACCTGTCATGATCCAGTCAAACACCTATGCACATTCAATAAAGCATAAGTAGACATTCTTCTGGCATTCCTTACTTTCAGCCAGGATCCATCTGACATCAACAATGTTATCCCTGGTACCATGGCCTCTTCCAAATCCTGAACTTCTGGCAGTTACTTATCTAGTACTGTTCCAGCCGCTTCTGAATGATCTTCAGCAGTATTTTGCTTGCATGTTATATTGACACTGTTTGATAATTTCCACATTCAGTTATTGTATACTTGAGGTATATACCTTTTCAATATCTGTGCCCTTAATATTAACTTGTTTAAATATAACTATAATTTCGTAAAACAGAATTTAAATAAGTTAAGGCAAAACCAAAACACTTCACAGAAATAAAATACATCTAACTAGAAAATTAATATTGTTAAGATATCGACTACCAAAAGCAATCGATTTAAGATAACATCTATCAAAATTTAACAACTCTGTAGAAACGGAGAAGTCAACTCTTAACTGTTTTGTAGCCCAAATAATCTTCACAAAGAGGAATAAAGCAGGAGGACTCATATTCCAATTTATAAACACAATACAAAGTTACAGTAATCAAAACCATGCGTTACTAATTAATGTAATATAAACCAACTGAATAGAACTGAGAAATAAACTCACAAATCTATGGTCATGTGATTTACAACAAGTGCATTAAGTCGTAAAGTGCACTAAAGGTAAAGAATAGTATATTTAATAAGTGTGACTGTTTTGTGGATCACAAAAAGCTGTAGCTGACTGTGAGAAGAATGGGAATCCCACACATTAGATTGTGCTAATGCAAAACCTATACTTGGACCAAAAGGCAGTCATCAGAACAGAGCAAGGAGACACTACCTGGTTCAAAATTAAGAAGGTAGTCTGTCAGGGATGTATTTTGTCTCCATACCTTTTCAATCTGTATGCAGAACAGATCATCTGAGATGCTGGGTTGTACGAGGAGGAATGTGGCATCAGGACTGTTGGAAGAGTCATCAACAACCTGCGTTATGCAGATGACACAACCCTGCTTGCTGAAACTGAGGAGGACCTGAAGCGCTTGCTGCAGAAGGTCAAGGACTGCAGTCTTCAATATGGATTGAAGCTCAACATCAAGAAAACAAAGATTCTCACCACTGGGCCCAATGGCAGCATCAGTATGGATGGCGAAGGGATTGAGATAGTTAACAGTGTTCGTTTACCTGGTTCCACAGTCAACACTCTTGGTACCAGCAGGAAGGAAGTCAAGAGATGAACTGCATTGGGAAAGTCAGCTGTGAGGGACCTCTCAAGAGTACTGAAGAGCAACATCAGGCTGGAGACTAAGGTGCGCCTGACCCAGGCTATAGTCTTTACAATTAAGTGCTACACATCAGAGAGTTGGACAGTGACTAGGGATGACAGAGAATTGATGTCTTTGAGTTGTGGTGCTGGAGAAGAGTGTTCAATTACACCATGGACTGCAAGGAAAACAAAGAGGTTTGTACTGAAGAGGGTGAGCCAGAATGCTCTTTGGAGTCAAGGATTCTGAAGCTTTGTCTGATGTACTTTGGGCACATTACAAGGAGGGACTGGTCCTTGGAAAGGGTCATCATGTTTGGCAGAGTGGAGGACGGCACAGGAGAGGAAGACCCTCGATGACATGGATCAATTCTGTGATTGGGGTGGTGGGAATGAATGTGTCGGAGATGGTGAGGTTGGCACAGGATAGAACAGCGTTTAGGGCTCTAGTGCATAGAGTCGCTATGAGTCGCAAGTGACTCGATGGCACATAACAACAAAAATGAAGCTAGATACCTCCAAGGGAAAATATAAATTAAGCCAGACTAACACCTTATACTACATTCAAAAGATTAACTTAAAACGAATCAATGACTAAAATACAAGAACTAAAACTGTTAAACACCCAAAACAAAAAATGGGGAAAATGCTCTTAGATTAGAATTTGATGGTATGTTCTTATGTATGACACCAAAAGCACAAATAATAAATTACAAAATACATAAATTAGATTTCATGAAAATTTGAACAATACATTAAAGAATATACCAACAAAGTAAAGACATAAGATATTCTGTGTATAGAATAGTAAGAAATATTTGGGAACCATACACTTAATAAAGTTTTACTATGCAGAATATTTATGAAGAACTCCTAAATACAGAAACAAAAAGCCAACCAACTAAAAAACTGGGCATCTGGGCAATGTCTTTAATTATTTTGGTTGGTGTGTTTTGTTTTGTTTTATTTTTTAACCAAACGTGACACACGAATAACAAACATTCTTTTAAATGAAGCTCAACAGTCATGTCAGAAAAGCTTATCAAAACCACTATTAGGTATCAATGCACTCTGCACTAAGATGGTTATTATTAAGAAGAAAAAAAACCAAAATAAAAAATCCAAAAAACAAATCCAAGGAAAACAATGGAAACCAACTAGTGCTGGTAGAAAAGCAGAGAAAGTGAAGCCCTCATCCATTATTGGTGGGTTGTAAATGAAGAAGTCACTGTGGAAAAGTTTAGTGGTTTTTCAGAAGTATAGAATGATTATATGACTCTGCCACCCCACTCCTGGGTATACATCCACAAGAGACAGCAGGGACTCACACAGAGACTCGTACGCTGACGGTAGCTACACGAATATTCACAACATCCAAATGTGGAAATGAACCAAATGTTCATCAATAGATAAATGTTTAACATTTATACAAAATTCAATGCATTCACTGCTGGTGAGTTAGTTACAACTAGGTCTAGGGACCTTCAATCAGGTTTCTTTTTTTATAGTTGTATCAACAGGGGACAACCTAGTTTTCAGTGTATCCCTTTAAAGGCCCTTTGGATGCCTACTTTACTACTTTCTTGATGTCATCATATTTGGCAGCTTTCTCCAGATGGCAGGTCAGATCCATGACTAAAAATGGGGGTGGGGACACAGAAAGCCATGCCAGTAAGTTTCCCTTCCGGCTCAAGTATGACCTTACCCATGGCCTTGGCAGTGCCAATTAATTCAGGGATAATGTCTGGGCAGCTCCATGGCCATCACGCCACAGTTTTCCAGAAGGGTCATCCACAGTCTTCTGGGTGGCAGTAAGGGCATACTGTGGTTATGACTCTCTCTATGATACAAAGTTGTTATGGATGACCTTGGCTAGGAGGGCCAAGCAGGTGGTGGTGCAGGAGGTATTGCAGACAATCTTGAGAGAGCTGTCATACTTCTCACGGCTCATACCCATCACAAACATGGGGGCATTGGCAGAAGGAGAAGAGATGTTTACCCATTTGGCACCACCCTTAAAGTGAGCCCCAGGTTTCTCCAAGGTTGTGAAGATACCAATGGACTCCACAACATACACAGCACCAGCATCACCACACTTCATGTTGGCAGTATCTCACTCCTAGAAGTTGGTGATGGCTTTCCCATTGATGACTAGCTTTCTATTCTCAGCTTTGAACTTGCTGTTGAACCTGCAATACATAGAATCATACAGGAACATACAGACCATGTAGGTGAGGTCAATGAAGGAGTCACTGATGGCAACAACATCCATTTTTCCAGAGTTAAAAGCAGCCCTGGTTACCAGGTGTTCAACGAGGCCAAATCTGTTTACTCTGCCCTTTACCATGTCTCAGGGATGCAGCACATGAAGAGAGGGCAATCTGTCTATCGATGAGCAGCAGAGAGCCTAAATCAGGCTTTTGAGGCTGCAAATAAGAACGGGAGACCACTGATCTTATCCCAAAGAAGCACTGAAGGATCTACTGAAAGATCAGAAATGCCAGGAGTAGTCTTTGGGTTAGCAGCATAATTCAAAATAGACTCAAATCAGTGCTTCCCAAATACAGATCCAGTGGAAGACCGAAGAGAAATGAAGTTCTGAGACATACATCAGCATGGCTGAACCTATTTGAATGCCTTGGGTTGGCAGGACAACTCCTTACCACTAAAAGCCATCAGAGTGCCCCTTGAAATACTATGCTGGATAAAACAGTCACACACAAAAGAAAAAATACTGTATGATTCCACCTATATAAAATATCTGAAGAGGCAAATGCACATAAACTAAAATTTAAGGCTATGATCTTTGCAATTACTTGCTATGCATCAGAGAGCAGGACAACGACTAAGAACAAAAGAAGAAGAACTGATGCCGTTGAACTGTAGAGCTGAAGAAGGGTACTGATTGAACATACCATGGACTGCCAAGAGAACTAACAGGTCTGTCTTTAGAGGATGAAAACAAGCTGCTGTTTAGAGGCAAGGATTCTGATGCTCATTTCACATACTTTGGGCACATGGCCAAGAGGGACCAGTTCTTAGAGAAGGACATCATGCTTGAAGGGCGGAGGGACAGCACAGAAGAGGAAAACCCCAAATAAGATGGACTGACACAGTAACTAGAGTCTGGGGGCGATGGTGTGCCAGAGTCTGTGAGACTGATAGGGCAGCGTCAGAGCTATTGTGGATAGAGTTACTATGAGTTGCACATAGGGAGGAGCAGGAGATAGAGAAGGGGGTACTAATGCTTAAGGGGAACGGCATTTTTGTTAAAGGAGATAAAATATTTGGAATAGAACAGTAATGACAGTTGTCAGGTACGATGAACATATCAGTGTCATTAAGAATTAGTCAACTGTACATGTGAAAAATGTTGAAACGATGTTTCACTTTATGTATTTTCAACACAACTTTAAAAACAAAACAGAAGAAATATTAAAACATATGGATAAACTCTGAAAACATGCTCAGTGAACTAAAACAGACCAAAAAAACCCCAAAATACAAAAATTAAAATTAAAAAATACATAGACCTACTTCCAGGTTTAGCATCGGGCTGTTGTTCACTCACACCTCCTTCTGACCAGCTCCACATCCAGTCAAACCATCCCGTGCGAGCCTCTGAATCTCTTTCCCCTTCTCTGTAAACCTTACATCCAGCTTTCTTTGCCTATAATTAAGAAAGTGTGAAAAGTGACAAATTATCCTTTACTAAGCAACTTAAAGAAATAGATGTTACTTCCAAAAAATGTATAGTATATAAACAATAAGCATACTGACCACATAAAGTAATACACAACATTACTTAAAGACTTTCAGATTACCTTATAGTTCTCATTTTTAACAAGAGATCAAATTGTTTAAAAAAGAAAATTGCATCATCATACCATCTTGGGACATTTAATAAATCCAACTAGTTTGTTAGAATTTTTTCCCATAAAAACTTGTTTGATTTAAATTGATGTGAAATTTTTATAACATACAAAGTAAATATCAACCATTTTTAGTAACCTCATCATTTCTATATGGAGTTTATTTTTACTAATAGAGAGATAATGTGGAATTACCTCAACTTCTGCCTGTTGTCTTGTCAATGTTATATTAAAGACATCCAGTATCTTTTCCAACTCCTGAAAGTATTTTTTAAAAAAACATGTTTAATTTTACATAACGTCAACATACCATACATTAAATTGTTGTATTAAAGAAAAAATACGATAGAAAACACAATGTATTTCTAACAATTAAAATGTAATTATTCAATTCTATAAAAATGCATATATATGCATATAAATATATACATATTTGAACAAAGAAATCATATATGCATAAAATATAAGTACTTTAAAAAGTATAACACATTTTAAAAGATACTCTACATACACTGTCCAAAATAATTAATTTGCGTTTTGAGCTACAGATAAATATGTTAAGTCAATTAAACATATAATTACAACTCTTGTCATGATTACAGTTCATATGATATTCTAATTTGATGCAAGATACACTTTTACTACACATTTTTCAAAACTATGATTTCTGGCAGAAACCATACCTATACATTTACCACACCTATACATTCAAATAGAGATGGCTTTCAAAGGTTTTATGCTCAAACTACTCCCTCTCCTCCCATAATCAACTATTATCTAAAGAGCAAGGCTTCTCCTTATGACTCAGGGTGAAGTCTCTCTCAGGGAGGAGTGATAGGGAATGGCAAAGGACACACTGACAAAGAAGATTAATCAGAACTGGCTTTGAAGCACTGTGGCATTTGGACAAGAACAAACTGGGAGGAGGGTAGAGAGAATAGTGCAACAATGAATGAATGGAAACCCAAAATCTCTGTAAATGTTTATGAAAATTAATAAAATATAATTACAGGGGAAAAAAAAAAACAAGGCTTCATTTTCCCCAGACATGGATGATTTGGGTTTGGATCCAAAACTTAAATAAAGAAATCCATAACCACTCCAAAACCTCTCTAAACTCAAGTATTCCTAACAACCCTAGATCTTCAGGAAGTCTCTCAATTTAAAAATAAAACTCAGTATTAAAGGAGTTTCTAATTGAAAACGGGCATAGACAATTCTGATAGTAAAGTCAAAATAGTTATATTGATTTCAAGAGGCTAATGCCTTTTACTACAAGCTGTATTATTTAATCCATCTGTAAAAGAGTTCCTCTTAGAATATTTCAATTTCTAAAAAAGACTTTAATTGATATGAACAATATTTAGAGTATTGAAAAATTGCTGGTCAAGTTTAGAAATGCCCAAGAATTATGAGGAACAACTGCCTGTCCATGGGCAGAAAACTCAGGAAAAGTTGATGCAAGAAATGAGACTTAAGTAAAACTTGACCGTTGAGGAGAACTGCAACAAACAGGCAAAGGAAAGTTGACAAGACTAGTAAGCAAAGACACAGCCCTAAGAATGAACATGATAGAAATAGTATTGTCATCTAATTAATGCATAGTAATAATTAATGGTAACAAAAGGGAAATGATAAGGGTAACAGATAATTAAAGACTCTGAAGTAGAGGAAGAGAAGTTTGGAATTAATGGAGCTTTTGAAGTTAAAAGGGGCATAATAATAAAGTCAGGCTTCAATTGACTTTATTTGCATTGAACACAAATCTTTCCAGGAAAACAGTTTCAAAAGTTCACATAAGAATTTCACCAGTGCTTCACTGAGGTTAGGAAACAGAGTAAGGAAAATTCAAAGAGGCAAAGAACGGTCAGGCAACATTAAGCAACGAATTAGGAGGTGTTAGTCACTACAGGCTGAGGAAGACTTAGAGTTATACAGCACAAAACATTCAACCTTTTTAAAAGACTAACCTCTAAAGACACAAGACAGTCACCAGACAGCTTCTTAACTGTTGTTATCTTTCTTTTATACAGATCTTTATATTGTTTTACATGTTGCCTATGATCTCGAATATATTCCCACGACCACACTCGTAACTTGGGACGAATTTTTACTTCAAGAACAGCATTTATAGCATAAGCCCACCTAGTTTAAAAAACAAACAAATAAATTTACATTTAATACTCACAAATCAATGGTTTCAAATAATTAATACTGCTTTTATTCTAACAACAAAGAAGCTCTGGTCATCTAGTAGGTAAGAAGTTAGGCTGTCAACTCAAAGGCATGCAGTTCAATTTCACTAGCTAGTCCAAAGAAGAAAGTTGGGTCATATCCTTTCATACAATTCACTGCCTCTGAAAATTCCTTGCACAATCAAATATGAGTAGGTTTCAATGTAGTGGCACATAACAACTACTAACAGCAAGCATAACTATACTTCAGAGTCTATAATTCAAATATCTGTTATCCAAGTACTTTACAATTAGTCTGTATTAATTTCTATCAATTCTATCATCATTAACAATCCTAATTAATTAGTAATCTTTCCTAAGTGCTACAATAGGTCGTATGATGGCAGTTTGAACAAACCAGTCGCACCACAGGAGTAAGGTGGAACAATCTCTTCCTGTTCATATTTATGGCCTCAAAAATCCGATACAGGGTCACCATATAGTGGAACTGACCTAGTGGCAGTTAAGTTTGGTGATTCGTGTTTAAGTTAAAATATGCAGCATCATTCAATGTTGCTAAGACAAATACAGCTTTACACAATTCTACTATGGTATTACTTGGCAGATAACATCTCAAAGACATGCAGTTCCTAGAAACCAACATAATCTAAAAATGAGAATAGCAAGACTTGAAAATTTTTAAAATGCTGAATTTTTATAGACTCCTATAACCTGAAAAATACAAATTTTCATGTCTGATATGAAAACTCACTCAACTCACTGGCATCAAGCCGATTCCAAGCCACAGCAACCCTCCCATGGGTCTCTGAGGCTGATCAATCTTAAAAGGAAACTGCCGAGCACACTCTGGGAGACAGCCACTAGTGAATTCAATCACCGAAGACTCGTGGTCTTGGGGTCAGTGACTCAATATGCTACGAACTATGCCACTGAGGACCCTTACGGAAATACAGAGGGGAGGAAAAAAGATGGTGCTAGAAAATAAACTGGATTTTTTTTAGTTACAAAAACACTTATATCTCTACATTAACTAATACTTCCTTGAGAAAGTTCTCGAGTCAACTTCATTGACACTGCAAAGTAAAACAACTATATTTTAGTCAGGGTAAAACTATACCTTGTATCACACCTTAAAGCGTATCTTAAAAATTATCTTGTAAACCAAGAAATTGTTTTTTTTTTGTTTTCTATTTTTTTTAAAAAAAAAAAAGTATTTTACCATTCCCTGGCATGGAAGCGAAGAGATACATCAGGTTTGAATTTCCTATATGGCAGGTTCTGTGTCATCCTATCAACAGATTCAAGAAGTTCCATAAGACTGAAATACTAAAAATGAAAAAATTAGAACCTTTTAAGTGTTTTGTCCATTTTCAATGAGGACTAAGTCACTGACATTTTTACAGGTTATATAAAAGTTAACATACAAATTCTAACACACAATACAAAGTTTATTTAAAAATCACCTGTGGTTTATTAAATTCAATGGCTATATCATGTAACTCAACATCCAGGTTTATTTTAGGATCAGAAAAGTCATAATCTGATCGGCGATTCATCTGAAGTTTGGCATTAGCAGATAGAGGGCGGAATACTGCAAAATAATACAAATTAAAAAAAATGTAAATTCTGTGGTATTTCAAAAGTCTCAGAGAATTAGATGAATCAAGTTAAAAACACTTACTTTCCTTTATACACTTTCTACAGTTCCCAGATATTCATCTTGTTTTAATCATCTCAAAAGCCTAGCCAATTTTTTTGTATATTAAAAATCCAAAAATATCTTTTAAATAGAAGTTAAATGTTCAATAATTAACTTTTCTCAGTGGTGGTGGTGGTTGTTGTTACTGAAGACTGTCGCATAAGAAGTGACCCATAGCGGCCCCTCATGGGCAGTTTCAGAGGCAGTTAATCGCTTGGGAAGAAACTGCCCAATCAAGCAGTAGAAAAAATAAATTAATCTAGGGATTGGTGATAGAACAACACTTGATGTACTATAGAAATAAAGTAAAAACTCATTATCATCAAGTTGAATTGACTCATTTCTAACCCTCCATTAGATTTTCAGAAGCTGTAAATCACAAGGGAGGAGACTGCTTCTCTTTCTTCCTAGAGCCACCAGTGAATTCAAACTGCCACAGGTGCCATTATTTTTTTACTTTTTATTGTGTTTCATTCATGTACATTGTTTCCTGCACCCCCACCCTCTCCATCTCCCCACCAAACTCTGTGACCCTGTGATTTCCCCTCCTCCCCACCCTCAGATCCTCTGCCTCCTTCCTTCCCCTCAGCTCTCTGGAAATCCATATTACATCTTATTGGTCATCTTTGTTTTTACAATAATGATCTTCTATAACATTTAATCTTATGTGCCTGAGTTAGTTCACTCCTAACAATGCTCTCTAGAAGTGCTCCCTTTGGGTTAGCTGTACCACTCCCTGCAGACCAGGCCACCAGAGCTCTAACCCACAGGCTGCACCTCTCTGGTGATTCTACAGGAAAAAGTTGGGCAGTCTCCTCTGGGGAAGATTTACCGCCTGTGCTGAGTTCGACTCACAGCAACCCTATGAAAAACAGATCTAAACCCTGTCCTATCCTGCACCATCCTTTTCCTTGACACACTTGAGGCCACTGCTACAGTCACAGTACCAATCATCTCACTAAGAGTTCTCCTCTCATTCAATAGCCCTCCACATTTCCAAGCATGATGTCCTTCTCCAAGGAAGAGCCTCTCCTAACAATAGGCCCGAAGTGTGTGAGACGAAACTTTGTCATCATTGCCTCCAAGGAGCACTCTGGTCGCACCTTCTCCAAAACATCTATTCTTCTGGCAGTCCACAGAATATTCAGTACTCTTCTCCAACACCACAACTCAAATGCATCTATCCTTCTTCTCTTCTAGGAAAATGCAAGTGAATCCTGCTTTCAAGGACCTCTCCAAAGTGCTAAAGAGAAATAATGTCAGTTTAAAGACTAAGGTGTGCCTGATGCAATACGTTGTTTTTTCAAATGCTTCCCATGCACCTGCAAGTTGGACGATGAATAAGTCTAACAAAAAAAGAATTGTCTCTAAATTGTAGTGCTGGAGAAGACTACTAGAAATCCCATGGACTGTCAAAAGAACAAATAAGTCTGTCAGGAGGAAGTGCAACCAGGATACTCTTTAGAGGCTAAGATAATGAAACTGTTTCACATGTTGTCAGAAGGAAACAGTCTTTATAAAAAGTTATCATGCTGGGAAAGGTGAAGGGTCAGAGAACTCCTCAATGAGATGGACTGGCACAGTGACTTTAACAATGACCTTGAACATAACAGGGATGGTGAAGATGGCACAAGATAAGGCAATGCTCAGATATGTTATTCATAGTCATAACTGATTTAAACGTACCTAAAAACAACGTTTTGAAATATAAGCAAAATCTCCCTGATGATGAACTATGTAAAAAAGCTATTTTTATTGCTTTTGTATATGTTATAAATACTGTTAATATATAGCACAAAATTTAACATGAAGCATCACCAGCATTAATTTAAAATTTAGGTTTTTATTTCATTTTCATAATTTCGCATTTTTATTTTATGAAATGTACTCACCAAAATCATAACCTTCTGGAATAACATTTTCATTGACAATGCCCTTCTTCAACTTGTTCTATTAAAAGACAAACTGCTTTTATTTTTATTCATGCCAATAAACCTTTGTCTTACAACAGCCCATCATATGCAATTTCAATAATAAGTAATTCAAATTTAGGAAGACTTAGGTATGACAAAATATTAGAGCAGTTAAAGAATAGAACTACTATTTTAAAATGGTATAAGACCTAAGTATTAAGAAATAGGTACACACCACCTTACAGGCATCTATCTATACATTTCTATTAGTGCTGCTAATGCATTTTCCTAAGAAAAGTGGTTAGTGTATTGGATAAATGGCAATAAAACTTTGTGTGAAATATAATGCAAAAAATATGCATATGTACATATAAAAAGTTACTTACCAAAGATTCATCATAGTCATTATAATAAAACATCTGAGACTTCACATTCCAATAAGCAAAAAGATTATCCAATCGAACTAACTGAAAAGAAATCAAATTTATTACATATTCATTTCCCTTCCCTTTGATAAATCTTTAACACATGCTAACAAAGACAAGTCACACAAACCCTTATCTATATATTATCACTGTCTTCCTAAGAGCTTTTTCCACTAAATCCATGAGTAGACCAAAGATATTCTTTGTGTTTTTTACCTTACGAACTAGTTTTTCAGCTTCATTATGTAAACACGGAACCCAGTCTTGATCAGTTGTCTGAAAAGCAAAGGAAAAAAAGAACAGTAAAAATGTCCTTTACATTTGAAATGGCAGTATAAAATTTTATCTAGTCTTAACCACAAAGCAGATAAAAATGTCTTTGAAAAACATTATCAAGGGAGCTGTGGTGGCCTAGTGGCAAGAAGCTGCACTGCAATCCCAGAGGCACACAGTTCAAATCCATCAGATGCTCTCTGCTGGAGAAGGAGGGTCAATCTTCTCCTGTACCAGTCAGATCCAATTTGACACACACACATACACACACTAAAAGATGGGGGGGGGGTGGAACCCAAACATTATCAGTAAAAAATATTCCCTGGCCAAAGTAACATCTGGTTTTAAGGAGCTCATGACTAAAAGAAAAAGCAAGCAAGCAAAGAAGCAATCACAAACATGTGTCACTACAGAAGGTAAATCCAAGGTATACTAGGATAATACAGCAGCAAAGTAAAAAACTCTGAGGTGGAAGGGAAAAGTGCTCTCTAACCTACTCATCTTCACACTGTGCCAGGAACCTGGGTGACACAGAGGCTAAGCATTTGGCTGTTAGCCCAAAGGTTGGCAGTTCAAATTCACCAGTCATTACTCCAAGGGGGAGGAAATACAACAGTTTGCTTTGGCAAAGATCACAGCCTTAAAAATCCTATGGAGCACTTCTACTCTGTCTTATAGAACTGCTGTAAGTCTGAACTGATTCAATAACAATAGGTAAACAACATGATCAATGAGGACAAATTATTCATTCTGAAATATGCTTTGGAGTAGGACAAGCCAATGCAAACGCCCAAGAGTTTAAGTACATATAACAGATTAGGAAACCGGAGTATCAAAGTATGTCAAGAAAAATAATGTGAAGCAGACAAGAGATGAAAGTGGGTATGTTATCCAGTGTCAAATTTTACGTGGCGTACAGCTACTTTAAAGCAAAAATTAGGCTTTATTCTCAAAGCAATAAAAAGGCACTAAAATAAGGGGATCAGATTTTTTTTTCGAAAGATAGTTTTCAATGTAATGTGAAGAGATGCATGGATTCTCTAACCTCAGCATACATCAAGATCACTTGATGGGCTTGTTTTTTTAAGGGTTTTTTGTTTTTTTTAAATTAATTTTAATGAACGTTTACAGAGACTTAAGGCTTCCAGTCATTCATTGTTGCACCTTTCTTCCTACTCACTGATGGGCCACTTAAGACATAGATTTTTTTTTTAATCGAGTAAATTTGAGCTGAGATTCAAGTTTTCAATGACTATCAAAAGAAGGAGCTCTGATGGCCTAGTGGTAAGAGCTGTGCTAAAGGCTCGCAGTTCAAATCCACCAGCTGTTCTGTGTCAGAGATGGGCAATCTCCTCCCATCCAATTAACTGCCTCTGAAAATCCACGGGAAAGTAAGCTCTGACTCTGCTCTGGCTTGATGGCAAACAACAATAACCAGAAGACAATCAAAACTAATGCTATCAAAGGAACTAATGACCTTCACACCATCAAATATAATGGCTATCTTTTCCTCTCCTACGGTTTGCCAAACAGCAGTATTTGACATCTTGCTCTCTTTACTGAATAATTTTACTCATTTGGATTTTTTTTACCCCCATTATATTTAATTTTAACTTTCATGAAAATACACACTGCAAAATTCACTTCCATTTCAATTCCTACACATACTGATGAGTGCCACTTCATCACATTCTTCACATCCTATCAATCTATTAGCATTCTTCACGTTCTATCATTGTTAGTATTCTTCATATTCTATAAATATTTTCATATTTTATCAGCAATCCTTTTTATTTCTGTTCTAGTTGTTTCACTTCCATTTACTTAAAACTCCTTGATTCAATCCCAGTAACACCTCCCCTCTCATACTTTGGACAAGTTGTTAGAAGGGGCAAGACCTTGGAAAAAGACATCATGCTGGGAAAGGAAAAGGATCCGCAAAGGAGAGGAAGATCCTCAGCAAGATGGATCAATATAGTAAGTTTAACAGTGTGCTAGATTATACCAGCACTGTTCTAACTGAATGGCACAGACAGAACAAGGTTCAGATCTGTTCTTAGGGCTGCTATGAATCATAGTCGATGCAAGGGCACCAAACAACAGCAGCACATGACATGATTATACAGGCAAATATAAAGAAAAATGCACAAACAGAAGACAAATGAGGTATCTTAGTCCTCAAAAATATGAAACAGGCAAGCACATCAGAAGACTTCATCAAAAGAGTAAAAAGAGAACCTACGTATTAGGGGTAAAATTCATCAGACAAGGGATTGATCACTAAAATGTACAGAAAATGTCAACACTTTAACAACAAATGACAATCACATTTTTAAAATGGATAGAGGACATGAACAGGGAGCTCTGGTGGCCTAATGGCAAGAAGCTGTGCTGCAATTCCAAATTCACATGTTTCGAGGCCACAAGCCACTCCACAGGACAAAACCCACCAGAGGGTAAGCTATGGGTCAGTTCTGACTTGATAGAACACAACAAACAGAGAGAGGATATGAACAGACACTTCACAAAACATGTCACTCAGGGGTCAACAATTATAAAGACAGGTCATTGTCCCTACTGCTGTTATTGTTGTGTACTGACCGTCAAGTCAGAACCAATTCATAGCTGACCCTCCAGCAGGTTTTTAGAGGCAGTAAGTCACACAGAAAGAAATTGCTAATCTTTCTCTTGTGGAGTAGCGGGTAGATTTGATGTGTATACCTTCAGGTTGGCAGTAAAACTCCTTATCACCTGAGCCACTAGAGGTCCCTCATTAAGCCATGACAAAGTTGCAAAACAAGAGAGCTTGGAGATGACATTATGCTCCAGAATTAATGGGAAAATCTCAAAACAACAAATACTGACAAGAAAGTAGATTCACTGCCATATGGAAAGTAAAATGGTGCAAACACTGAAAAGCAGGACACTTCGTAAGCTGGCAACAGAAATATCATGTGATTCAGTAATCCCACAACTAGATACCTAATTGGAAGAAAGTAGTAACATAAACAAATGCACACTCATACTCAGAGCAGCATTATTCACAACAGTCAAAAGGCAGAACCGACTCAAGAACCTATCAATGGATGGACAAATAAACTATGGTACATACACACAATGGAAATGTTAAAGAACAGCAAAGCAGTCTTTTAACAACTCATAACATGGATGAACCTGGAGAGCACTAGCCTATGTAAGTCAATCACAAAAGGACACATACACTAGGCCATTTCTATATACAGTAATAAAAAGTTTTAAAGACAAACATTCTATGAAAGACACCAAGGGTGAGAGAGGAAGGAGGGATAAGTCACTAAGTGAGGGATCAAACACAAGACTCATTGTGTTGACTAAGAACGAATTCCTAGCTGACTCGCTAGTGAGGTCCAGAGGCTGTAAATAACACATGAGAAGACTGCTCATCTTTCTCCAAGAGAGTGTCTCCGGGGGGCTGGATATGAACTGCTAGAGAGGTGTTGCCTTCGGAGTAAGCAGTTCAACTCCTGGTATATATTAACTTGGGCAAAAGGAAATGATGTATATATAAATAGGAAGAAATCAGCACAAATAATCAACAAAGAGACAAATAAATACTAGAAGGAACACAAAAGTTAAAGGTAAAAAGAAAACGGTAAATACTATTAAATACACAGCACTGAAGTAGTTAACAGTAATCTATGAGGCCAGATGGATACACAGACAAGCTGGACAAGCACAGGAAGGCAAATGAAATCACACCCACAAATATACACAAGGCAGGCAGAGTGTATTTACATAGGTTATTTATATGTGCTACAAAATCATCCATAAATGCAGTAGTGCATACAGGAAGCAAAGTTATAAAACTTATTAGCAATTATCAACTATCTTCAGGAAGTGCGTGTCTGGACCTAAAGACTCAGAAAATAGTCTTGAAAGACATTAAGGTCAAATGACACAATATAGTCCATTCTACATTCTACTTTGGTGAGTTCCAACTGAATAGCAATGAATTGAGAATTGAATTGACTTGGTGAGTAGGTGAGTAGTAACTAGGATCTTAAAAGCCTCTGAGCACCATCAAAGTGCAACTATTATAGTCTCTCTCCAAGAACAGGCTGTTGTCATTGTTTTGAGTAACTCTTAATTTCAAATTGTCACTTGTCACAATCAAAATAAACCCCACAATACTGTACTGTCTGTGAAGTCTGGGTGGCAATTACAAGAAGTATTGAAACCAGCAGAGAAGTAATGAGCACCAAGGGAGTGTCAGAACTGGTATAGGGGCAAGAGCATGTGAGATACATGTCAGAAAGGAATAAGCTTTGGGTTGCTGCTGTTACTGTGGATGGGGATTTTCCTCCCTTGTGAAATCTGAGGGTTATGCCTATCCTGTTTTTATAAAAATTCGTATACTATATAGAACATATAGCATAGTTATAACAATATTGTACAAATAAATGTACAGTATTAAATTCCTTTTTAAAACAAAGTACCTGCAAGCTGAGATTTTGAAGGGAAATACCAAATGACAATGGGTTGTCACAATCTGTGATCTAAAAAAGGGGAAAAATAATTTTACTATATTAACAGATCAAGATTTAAAATACTGTATCTGCATAATGTTTTTCAATTTACAAAGAAATTCCATTAAAATATGGTTGAAATTCACAATGTTAGTAAAAAGTAAATGATTATGTGTTTTTTGAAAGACTAATTAATCTGCTCATGATCAGTTAGCCTAACTCTCCAGAGCTCTATTATCAGTGCTTTTTTCCTAGGAAGTAAAGCATATTTAAATCAGTTTTCACATATATAAATAACTCCTAAATTCAATACCCATACCTATCAAAGCGGATTATAAGAAAGAGATTTTTCTTTAATTACTTGATGTTATGAACATTTTAAAATACTTTAACCAAGCTTTATAAAAGTCTATAATTACAAAAAGTCATGTCATTATTCCTTCACTTCTCAGTGTCTCATAAGCTGGCAAAGGCAAGTATGTGCTTATAAACAGGATGATAATGTATACAAAATATAAAAATAAACATCGTCTTTCAATATACTTACATCATCTTCATAGCGAATGTGGATGCTGGAAATTTTCACTTGAAGATTTTTAATGATCTGAGTAACTAATTTTTCTACAAAAGTGTCCTGTTTCTCTTCCTTAGGTTGCTCTACAATTGCAAACATTTCTTTTTTTAACTTGAATGAAAAATACACTCTATAAACATTCATATGTTAATATATATAGGGCTCTGTTAAAAACATATACATTTGTAGATGCAATACTAATAACTTTCTAAGAGTTTTCCAAAGTTCCCCAAGCCAAAGGCTTTAAAGGTGATTAAATATATAAATTCTTTTTTAAAAGCAGGGTTTTATTCAGTAAGTCTGTAAATTTTACAATTTTTCTCTTTCTGTTAACTGTGAAGCACATATTCTCACTGCCATCAAGTCAGAACCAATTCATAACAGAGTCTTTATTTGGTTTCGGAAGCTGTAAGTTACACAAAAAATGAAAGACGATCTTTCTCTTGCGGATCACCTGGTGGATTCAAACTATTAGAGGCACCACTTTTGGTTTAGCAGCACAAATTTCTACTATGACACCAAAGCTTCATAAATATATGGAAAATAATGAACATTAGATAATTAGTTCCAATTAGTAAAGCTAGTACCACAAAGCGGCAGAATTTCCTTTAAAATTATTGTTACCATCAAGAGTTTGCAGCTCAATATGCAAAACAATATACTCTTCCTGTTGGAAGATAACACAAGGGAAGGAATATATTAACTTGTAAATAGTTAAGTTTATTGTAATTAAGTATTAAGTTTTATTGTAAGATTCTCTCCATTCTCTCTTTGCAAGTAACAACATAGAAAGTTCATCATCTCTGTTCCATTTTCAGAAAACAATATTAAGTATCTCTAGCTTCAAGTCTTTGCAGGGGAATATAAAAACAAATAATTTTTTTAAAAATTTTTTAAAAACCCAAAATCAAAGAATTCAGGTCATTAATTTTTTATTTCAAAATATTCATCTGGTTACCACGCTCCTCCATCCTCCTTAAAATGAATATCAATGTAGTATTTGTAATATGTCAATGTCCATTCTATTTTGTAGTTCAATTAGCATCATGCAAGAGAAAACTGATAGTAATTAGGAAGTATCTAAGATGCAAGTCTGAATAAATGAAAGTGAATATATCTGATAATTGGCAGAGTAAAATGTATATAATAAAAGATTTCTGAAGCTAAACTCTCACTCCTCCCACCACCCAATTAAATCATTTGTTTTTTAAATTAACTTAGAGATGTATATTTATTATTTATTAATATTCATTGTTTGCTCTACCTTGATCAGCTACTTTTTGTTTGGCTTCTTCTATTCTTTTCAGTTCTTGTTGTTTTGCTTCCAACATATGTTTTTCTTCTTTTATAGGATCATATCGTATTACTAAAGAAAGTAAGAAAATGAAAATTACTTAAATTTACATAGTCATTCCAAAAAAAACCTTGGGGAAAAAAACACCAATTTTTTTAAAAAAATCACTAAATCAACATTTTTTTTAAAACCAGAATAAAAACTAATTACCAAATACTGAAGTGAAAATAAAAATTTCTTTGAGACTCCATCTCACATACTTTGGACATAAAGCCAGAAGGGACGAACCAGTCTTTGGAGAAGGATAGCATGCTTAGATGGGTCTAAAGACAACGAAGAACAGTTTTACCCCGGATGAGATAGACTGACACTATAATGGGGTAATGAGGGTAGGTGTGTCAGACATAGCGAGACTGGCTCAGTATAGAGCAGGGTTCACAGTTATTATGCATTAAATTGCTATGAGTCATCACTGGCTCGACAGCATGTAGCAGCAACAAGAATTTTTTAAAAAACTTCCATGAGTATTTAAATACATACAATTACCAAATATAAACGCTTTCCAGTCACAGAAAAAAATAATATATAATGTTTAATATTTGACTTACTAGAAGAAGGCACTATAAGTAAATAAATTTCTTCCAATACAGCTTCTACTGGTTGAGTATAAAGATTTTTCCAGGGAATTACAAGATCAAGATTACCTACATTAAAAAAATAATAATAAAACATATTATTCATTCAATCTACACTTACTGTCTTTGTTCATAAGCACTCAGTCACTTTATAAAAATTATCCTATAAACAAAATCAGCATATCTTTGTCACGGTGACTTGAAATATTTAGTGTTGGAAAAGTTAGTAAATTATATTCTACGTAACTAATTGGAGTTTTACCACCTTTGAAAATTGGCTTTTCTAGCCACTGTGTCAGCCTCCTTTGGGTGGGGGGTTATAGGGACATGACCTCCAGCTACCTTAACTGCAAACGCATAGTCTTAGAAATCATCAACAGCTCTAGGACCAATATAAGAGAAGCTTCTCCACACTTTGAGAGATGGTGTACGGCAAGTGGTGGAGACCGTAGCACTGCTGTGCAGAGACTATGGCAAGGGGTAACTAGAAGAACCCTGGAGATGGAGCCACAGTTAAAGGTTTTGCTTGCTGGATGACTGAAAGAAAAGCTGACTTGTAACTGCTCTGAGATAAAGTTTGCTGGACACTGAGGAAACCAGAGGCTTCTTGTATTTGTGTGGCTGAACTGAACCTGGACTTTCACTAATTGAGGAATTATTTCGCTGTTAATCTGGCTTTGGACTGTTGGACTAAACCTGGACTCCTACTGTGAGATATTCTTTGCCTCTCCCACTCCGCAAAGTACTTACCTAATAAACCCCATTTTTGGTACCACAACTGTGAATAAAATCTGTAAGTCAACAACAAATGAACTAACCTTTGCTGCTAGCATAGCTGCAGAGGCACCATGGGGCTGGGCGACAGGCTCTTTTTCTGTATTTTGTTCTGGGGCGGTGAGGGGCTGTGCTATTCTCACTCCCACTTACCCTTCCATAAAGATCCTCCTGGCCCTGTCCCCTTATGTCTCATTTTCTGCTCTTTTTACAATTTCATAAAGGTTACAGCTTTATGCTTCCACAAAGACTACAACCAAGAAAATACTTGGAAGAGTTCTATGCTGGAACACAGGGTTATCACGAGTCAACTCCTTAGATTTAGGAAAAAAAATTGAATGGAGGGATTGTTAAATATTCTCTACGGTAACTGGGAGGAAAAAAAACATCAATATGAAACCAAACTATAACATATTCGAAAATTCCATAGTTATAAAACCATAAACTGAGAAAAGGATTCAATATATAATGCTAATTGAGAGAAAAACTATGCTGATTTCTTTTTTTTTTTTTTTTTTATTTTGTGTGCGTGTACCGTCAAATCAGATCTGACTGGTACAGGAGGATATTGCGCCTCCTTCTCCGGCAGAGCATCTGGTGGATTCGAACCGTGTTCCTCTGGGATTGCAGTGCAGCTTCTTGCCACTAGGCCACCAGAGCTCCCCATTATTCTGATTTCTAAAATGGGATATTTTCTGTTAACTGAACTGTGCTTCATTCCCCAAACATGTGTTGGAATCCTAACCTTTAAATCTGTGGATGTGTGTTTTAATCAAATCAATGGTGATTCCAAGAAGAGAAAATTAAACCCGGAATTAAGTATAAACTGGGCATAACAACTCTCACCTGAGGACCAACAGGATGCCTAGGGAAACTGCCCAGGAAGAAATCTATGAAATCAAGAGCCAGTTTGGACATTTAGCTTCTAGAATTATGAGAAAGTTAAGTTTTTGCTCTTTAAGGTCATCTACTTGTGGTATTTCTGATAAAGCATCACCAGGATGCCAGATATTTCCAAAGTTATAATTATCAGAGAAAACAGTGGCAATTTCCAATTTCCTTTTTAGGTAGCCAAATGAAGAAGGAGATAAAGAAATAACTATAATAAACTCGACAATTTCACAAATATATCAGGGAAATTGCTTGAAACACTCACTATCCCTGAAAAAGTAAATGAATAGAGAGAAAAAAATAAAAGTAATATAAGAAACAAATGTTAACAATATTCTGTTTTCACTACTTCTGGTGTTAAGAGTTTCTTGTTCAAAATTACTTTCCTAACCACTGATTTTGACTTTACCATGCGGATGAGCAGAAACATGCAAATAAGGTGTTAGCCTATCCACAAGGAGACTGACTAGTCTTGCCACTAAATTAGGCAGATTCAGCAGCAGATTTTGAGAATCTCAGAGCCAGAGAGTTTTGGGCCAGCCAGACCTACAGGAGAGCAGCAACAGCTGCAGCAGAGAAGCAGAGACCCAACGTGAACAAAGATGACCTCAAGAATGCTACTCCATAACACAACTATGAGATATCATCCCACCCCAGTCAAAATAGCAAAATTTAACAGAACAGCAAGCAACAAATGCTGGCAAGGTTGTGGAGAAACTGGAACCCTTATTCACTGTTGGTGGGAGTA